CCCTACCATCCCCTCCACAGCCCTTCCTCACACCTTCCCCTTGTCCCTCCTCCTCTCCCCTCCCTCCGGGCTAGGCTGCACAAGGCCCAGATTTCAGGATTTCACAGAGAGCTTCTGTCCACTCCCCAAGCTCTGTCCGAGCTCCCAGCGGCTGCCGTGGAGTCCGGCGTCCTGGGTCTGCTCGCTCACTTTCCGTGGAATCCCGTGCACCGTATGCTGATCATGAGAGCTCTGTATTCTGAGGGTTCACACCCGAGATACCCTAGGAAGTGGTAGGTGGGGGATGAGAGTCCCGTGTGGGTGTTGGCTGTGCCCCCCCAACCAGGGGGCTTGCCTTAAGACCCACGGACACACACGGTCTCTGCTCGCACACCCACCGGAGGTGCGCGGAGGGAATCGGCGCACGTCACGCAGGGTGGCTGTTTGGTTGTGATTCCGGCTGAAGCTGAAGCTGATCCTTCCTGAATGAGACCTGACATCTTAACAAAAACGGGTCATTACTGTGCTGTCATTGCGGACCCGTGTGACAGCGGCCCCCAATGGTCTGTCCAGGCTCCGTCCGTGGCCAGGCTGCCCGGCCGCCTGGCGTTGCAGTTCATGGGACTAAGCACGTCCGTTTGCAGCGGGGGCTGGCGGAGAGGTGCTGTGCTGGGGGCTCGATGTTCCCGAACGTCTGCTGCTTTTCCTCGGACCCTTTGTTTTCTTAGCTGTGTCTGGACGGACGACAAGCTGTTTAGATTGTCTTGGCGTGTCTGATTTTTTAAAAGAATTTTTAGTGTTGGGCTAAATGGGTAAGGGGCATTAAGGAATCTACTCCAGAAATCATTGTTGCACTATATGCTAACTAATTTGGATGTAAATTAAAAAAAAAAATTAAATCAAAAAAAATTTAGTGTTTATATTTGAGAGAGAGAGAGAGAGACAGAACACGAGTGGGGGTGGGACAGAGAGAGGGGGAGACACAGAATCTGAAACAGGCTCCAGGCTCCGAGCTGTCAGCACAGAGCCCGACACGGGGCTCGAACTCACGGACCGCGAGGTCATGACCTGAGCCGAAGTCGGACGCTTAACCTCCTGAGCCCCCCCAGGGGTCCCTGGTATGTCTGATTTTGAAGCTCCCCGCCTTGTGCATTTTTTAGGTGGCAAAGGTGACCCAGTTGGGTATCACTTCATCCTTACAAAGATAGGAAAGCGTCCAAATACGACTTTTTCTTGAAAGATACGTGGCCTAAACAGAAATAAACGTTTTGATAAATGCTCATAGTCGTTTGTTATCACCAAGACCCGAATACCGGACAGACCCACAAAGGTGCTGGTCACAATGCACTGTGGTAATGGCCTTTCGCCTGCATTGGATTTTCACTTACGGATCTGTTCCCGCCCCTTTTCAAAGAGGACAGAGAGGCCTTGCTTCAGGTGTTAGCGAACACGCTCCCTCAGTGTTGCTGTTAACGCCCACGTTTCCTTTTACGTGTAAGTATTTGGAAGTTCTCAGTAGTTGGTGCCGCGTGTAAAATGAATGGCCTTCACCATATGGCCGTGGATGATCACATGTTTACTCCTGCAACAACGCACTATATTTGTGAACCGTCTGATTGAGAGGACGAATCCCGCACACGAGATCTTCAGCTTAGTTTGTCTAGAACGCACTTTACATATGAAAGCTTGGGTGACAGGCTCACACAGCACGCCCTATTTGTAGCACCAATGGCCGATGGCCGTCCCTCAGCTGTTGGGTTTGCCCCGAGCGTGACACAGAGGCCGGGTGGGGGTCCCCTTGTGGCTAGCCCCGAGGGGGGGCCCGGGCTGAGCGTGGAGCTTGCCCTCAACGTCCTGCTCCGGAGTCATCATCTCGATGGAAGTCTCCCCGCCCTTCGTCCAGGCCACCTTGCACCAACTCTGGTTCTCCAAAGCCAAAACCTGCCTGCCGGCGGTGGGGGCAGGGAGGGGGAGCTCAGGCACACGGCGATGCCCCGAGGCCCGTGCCCAGGCTGGAGGCACTGGCTGGTGGAGGCAGGGCCTGGCCTCGCCCGCGTCCACCACCTCCGTCCTGCTGCGGGGACCCAGCCTGCCTGTGGGATGAGCCTGCCTTACAGAGGACACAGGGCTGCTTAAAACGTAGCCAGGACCTGGGGTCCGAGGCCCCGGGCTCTCGGTCTGATGACTTTTCTGTATGTTGAGCTATAAAAATCCCACCCCACGGAAGGCCTTTGGGAATCGAGCGTCCTGCCTTCCTTCCAGAAGTGGAAGGGACACTCCCTTGCTCTCAGGTCTGGAGGAATCTTTCTGATCTCCCCCCCCCCCCGGGACGCATTAATAATAATCTAGACGTTTTCAATGCATATTGTGGCTGCGTGAGAAACCCAAGTCCCCGAATTTTCAGAACCTAAGCAGTTAATGTTAGAAATTTTGCTGCAAATAAATTGATCAGTATGCAAGACAGTTTTCACGGCTGAATCATGGTCCACAGTTTAGGTAAACAGATCTGTGATGACATTTTCTGAGTGGAATACAAATGCCATTCATTTCCTCCCAGCGGCTCCTGGCACTTCTACACGGATAACAGATTCTCCCAAGAAGGTGTTGGACACCAGGAAGAAAGATCTTTGTTTAATCCCTCTGAAAAGGTAGGGCTGTGATATCGGGTGTGATTTCCGTGGAAGGAATTGCTCTGAGAGACATGGCTGTTGGGGAGGACATTTTTCTTTGCCTATTAGCTGCCTCTGTGCACCTCCGACCCCCGGAGAGACCCCTTCTGGTCTTCCGATTCTTGGAATTGTCGTGAAAACATCATGTTGTTGTCTTGTGAAAGTTTGCACGTAATTAATTTTTCTCCCCATGTTGTGAATGAAGATCAAGGGATATTTTTCTTATTGCGATTTCCATGAAATAGCGGGGGGGGGG